ATATATATACATATGTATGTATGTATGTATATATATATATATATATATGTATGTATGTATATATATATATGTATGTATATATATATATATATATATGTGTATATATACATATATAGGATAATATATATAAAGATGTAATACTGCAGAATACTGCAGAATAAGGGTGCTTATAAGCACCGACTCAATCAAAGCTGCTGCCGTAAGGTCTGCACTCCATTTCTCTAGGAGTGCCTGCCGTACCAACTTAACTTCACTTCTTTAGCTGTGACACTCTTATCTCTGTCTACAGCCATGTGATAGGCCCGAGACGTGAGATGGAGATCAGCGGCTTTCTTCTATACGTCAATATGGCACCTATCAGTCGGCTTTGCACTCATCTACTGACCACGCACACACACATTCAAAAGCATCAGTGGCTCGGTCTTATCAGTGGAGAAGCAGAGGGCAGGTATCTAAGCCCTGGAGACTGATGTCAGATGAGCATATTCATCTCTGATCAATGAGCCGGTGTCACATAATACCAACTTCTTTATCATCCTCCAATGGCTGAACTCATTTCCTGAAGGGGCTGATGGTCATGACAGGGCAAAAGATTAATGAACTTGATTTCTCTGCAGCCTGATTAATGCAGAGCAAACCAACATCAAAGCTAAAGGCAACACAGAAACACTAAAAATGCTGAAAAATACTTAATTAAATTACAATTACAATTACAATTAAAAAAGGAATTATTACTGATGATACTGATGTTGCAGTAGCCCCGTTTTATTGTTTGAACATGTTTTTTGGTTAAAAGAGGAAAGAGGAGTTAAAAGAGGAAAAAAAGGTCAGCCGAAGTTATCTTAGTGGACCGTCAATGTCTGTACAAAGTTTAATGACAATCAATCACATATTTCAGCCTGGACCAAAGTGATAGACTGACAGACAGACTGCCTTTGCCTTCCCCAGAGCCTTGCCCCTAGTGTGGCTAAAAATCATGTAAATCCAAAAACAACAAATGATTGAAAAGAGATAGACACTATATCTCAGTATGAAATTTCCGTAAGGTCACAGACATCACATTGCCCCACCCTAGTTAGACAGAGCTCTGAGTCCAGCCAGATGGTGTTTCATGACAAATAGACCAATTAAAGAAATATCTAAATCATCTTTTTGTATAAATGGATTAAAGGTGTAATCGGGTCTAATTAATGTCTCTCTTTTCAATAGCCTCCAGTTTGCTGTGGCAACATGTACAGACTTACGTTGTGCCAATAAGGCAATTTGAATTTGAATTTGACTTTGAATTCATAATTTTATCATGTAGGGAAAACAGCAGCATGACCCAAATACTTTCTGTTACAACTAATAATTAACATTTACTCTTATGCAGTAATTTCTTATTGAGTTTCCAGTGAACACTGAACATTTGTGGTCCGCAGAAGTTCAAATCAAGAGGTCAGTGTCGTAGCGGCAGCATGAGGGATTGTGGGTGGTTTTGCATAGTTTGGCTTTATTGGAAAGGTAATGGGCCATGGAGGGTTAACAAGGATACATTCAGCACTACACACAGTTCATTGTGTGTGTGTGTGTGTGTGTGTGTGTGTGTCATGGTGTTTACAGTGTACATATCAAGACAATCTGATTACTTTCTTCCTCTTTCTTAGTAATGTCTACCTGAGGAGCACCTCTTCTCTCATCCTGCCACAATAACAACCTGTCCTTCATCTATGCTCAACATTATGTCTCATATGGAATTATACCAATAAAACACTTTACCTCAGCCTTTCATAAGACCGCTGTTTAGCATATAAACATTGTAGAGCGAGTCACTTTGTCAGCAGATGACTTCAGTCTGGGGCATTTGTGTCACATCTAAATTCTTGCACCTCTCTGGATGCCACTTACCTGTGTGCGTTTTTGCATTTTAATGCCTTACACACATTTGATTCAGTTTGACAGTGGAAATATTTCAAATCAGGAAAAGTTTCACCAGCAAACAAACGCTTTGATCATAAC